CCGCTTTGTTTCTCTCTCTCTCTCTTTCTCTCCACCTCTTTCATTCTTTCTTTCCACCCCTCCCTCTCCCTCCCTCTCTCTCTCTCTCTGACAAATAAATATCATTAGCAAATATCATCGGACAAATAAATATCATTATCAATATCTGTTTTTGCCCCTTTTGTTTTTATTTTTGGCAGTCTCATTTAATGTTAATAAAAAGCAAATTTACATATTTTAAATAAGAAACGTGTGTAATACCTGTTCATGTCTTGTGGCTCTCAAACATCTGATGTTAATTCTATGTGGCTCTTACGTTGAGCAAGTTTGGCCACCCCTGGTCTAGGGGTTGCAACTTGCCAACCTCCAGGGGACAACAATCAATCCCCCTGTATTTAATTTCCTTGTCATTTTGTCCATTTCAACTATAAAAAGTAGTTTCTTAATCCAGTCCCCTACTTCAGGTACTTTTGTCTTGCTTCCAACATTGTGCATACGTCATTCTGGCCGTCGTGATCATGTACCACATCAATGTCCTTTTTGCCACATTAACTTCTTCCATTTTAAGTCCCAAAAGTAATATTTCTGGTTCCTTCTTAAATTTACATTTTACAATTGTTTCCATTTCGCATGTATCTCAGCCCAATAACTTTTAGCTTTTTCACAAGTCCACCGCATATGATAAAATGAACCCTCTGCCTGCTTACACAACTCGAACATATGTTTGACATGTTACTATTCATATTAACAATCCCCCTGCGGAAAACAGCTGCTTTGGAGGGTGGACTCTATGGCATTATACCCTGCTGAGGTCCATCTCCTCCCCACACCCTGCCCTCGCCAGGTTCCAGTCTACCCTCAAATCTCCAGGAATTTTTCACTCCATAGCTGGCATACCTAGTGAGGCCAGACAGTGTGGCCTTCTCCATCATCTTGTCTTTTACTGTATGTGGCTCTTCCCCTCCCAGAACTGCCTCTTACAGCAGCCATTCCATCTGGCCAACACAGGACAGTTTTCTAAATTATCTGAGAGTTTATATGATGGTTTGCATGTTTTCCTCTTCCTGTTCCCCCCTTTTCCTTTGATGTTCTAGAGAGCCAGTTTGGTGTAGTGGTTAAGTGTGCGGACTCTAATCTGGAAGAACCGGGTTTGATTCCCCACTCCTCCACTTGCACCTGCTGATGTGACCTTGGGTCAGTCACAAGCTCTGGCACAGCTGTCCTTGAAAAAGAGCAGTTTGTGTCAGAGCTCTCTCAGCCCCACCCACCTCACAGGGTGTCTGTTGTGGGGAGGGGAAGGGAAAGGAGTTTGTAAGCCGCTCTGAGACACCTTTGGGTAGTGAAGAGCGGGGTATAAATCCAATCTCTTCTTCTTCTTCTTCTTCTGAGCAGTCGTTTTGAATTGTGAGCCGCCTTGCCTGCCAGAACTAGCAGAAAGGGGATATGCTGCCTAGGTTTATGTCATCAAGTCATTTTCACGACTTCATTTGCAAAATGGAAAATTAATGTCTGCCCGTGAAAAAATGATATTACAAAGCATATGACCCCAAAGCAGCATGCAGCGGCCAGAATCCTGAAATTGACATTTCTCAGTAATGTAATATACCATATGTTTCTAGCCCTCATGGATGAAAAACGATTTGGAGTTTTAAAAATCCTATGGTGTTGGAAACAAGCAAACAAATGCTATTGTGAATCGCTTTTACCCTTTCCAGTTCCTGAAATTGTTTATCGATAATTTTGTGAATTTTTTTTTTTTTTTAGATCAAATAATAGGATTAAGGCAATGAACCCTTCAGACACATTTGGGCATTTGCCATGGTCCTGAAATACCATATTGCTTAACTTAATCCATAGATTGTAGTCTAAAATACATTTTAAATTGTTCTAAAGCTCTCCAAAGGGATAACTAAAAAATAGGAAACCATTTCCAGCAATACAATAATTGTGTTGTTGTAGACTGAGATTGCATTTCAGTACACAGTTGATCAATTGACAGCTTAATGCATTGAAAGCACTCCCCCCCCCGAAAAAAGACAGAAATTATTGACATTTAACATACTCACTCCCAATATTGACCTCCAGCTTTCCCCTGGGCTTCTCTGTTGGCTTTAAAAGCAGCAGTAGTTAGTTCAAACTTATCTTGGAGAGGAAAAGGCCTACAAATGTTAATGTTGTTTGACAGTAGCAATAATAGCAGTGTGTAAAATGTATTTATTTGTAAACTTTGATGGAAGTTGCTTGTGATGGTATTATTTAGGGTGTTTTTTTTTTTTTAATTATGCTTGGTGCCTTGAGACGTTGATTAGTGCATTTATATTCTGCAGAATACCTAGATCAGTGATGGCGAACCTTTTAGAGACCGAGTGCCCAAACTGCGACCCAAAACCCACTTTTATTGACATTTAACATACTCACTCCCAATCCAGTGATCCGATGTGGGCTTGACCTCCAGCTTTCCCCTGGAGTAGCTTTAAAAGCAGCAGTAGTTAGTTCAAACTTATCTTGGAGAGGAAAAGGCCTACAAATGTTAATGTTGTTTGACAGTAGCAATAATAGCAGTGTGTAAAATGTATTTATTTGTAAACTTTGATGGAAGTTGCTTGTGATGGTATTATTTAGGGTGTTTTTTTTTTTTTAATTATGCTTGGTGCCTTGAGACGTTGATTAGTGCATTTATATTCTGCAGAATACCTAGATCAGTGATGGCGAACCTTTTAGAGACCGAGTGCCCAAACTGCGACCCAAAACCCACTTATTTATCGCCAAGTGCCAACACGGCAATTTAACCTGAATATTGAGGTTTTACTTTAGAAAAAACAACTCATACATTAACTCAAGATGATCCAAACAAAGTAAGGAAAGCAATCCCAAATGCTTTCATATACTTAAAATTATTTGGCAGAGAATTCAACACTTTAATGATGGCTGGGGCGATGGCACGCGTGCCCACAGAGAGGGCTCTGAGTGCCACCTCTGGCACCTCGCCACCACTGACCTAGATCATTGGGGCATGCCACAATTAATCCTATGTTACCAATTTCCTTTTAGGACTTGTCGATCTCCCAAAAGGGAGCTCTGAGGCGAAGTATGATACTATAACATTGCCTGAAGAATTTCATGAGTTTGACACACAGCTCCCAGAGGTGAAGTAAGTTTTTTCCAGACTGGCAGTTTTTCACTATACTAATAGTGGCCTATTATTTATGCACATCATACTGCAGGTTTCCAGAGCAGTAAACCTTTAATCTTGACTTCAGATTCTGTGCCTGCTGTACCCACTTTTCAAAATCAGGGTGGAGAATCACTTGTGATATGTGGGGGTCAATGCGCCCTCTAAGCTGTGGAGTCTTGTGAGCAAAAGTTCTACTTTGTAAGCTACTAGCATTAAAGTTGTGAGTGAGCAATTTGGCTACAGCCTAAATTAGTTTGCTCTGGAGCCCTCCTTCCTGAGCTGAGACAAAAATGTGTGAGCCGAAGGCTAAAAAAACTTTGAGCTAGCTCACACTAACTCAGCTTAGAGGGAACACTGGCTGTGGGGTGGCGCCCAAAGATCACAGCTGTGCAGTAGCATCCAGCAAGCGCCTTCCATTTAAATCCTTGTGGTTCAGGTTTGGTGCATGCATTTTAGCCTTATTCACTGAATGAAAGGGAATGGAAAGGAACTCAGGCAAGGGGGGGGGACCTGCAAAGCCCCATTTCCCAAAACTGCAGAGCACCAGGGGATTCTCTGCTGTGTTATCAGCCACTGTGAAAAATGAGAAAGAGTCACACGATCTCACAATACGAGGAAACATGCTGAGTGTATAGAATGCAGGGTAGAACCCAATGACCCTGGCATTGCAAGCTGTGATTGCTGGAAATGTGTGTGTGCGTGTGCGCCTGTGAAAAGTCGGCTGCAACTCCACTACACTTTGCACAGGGTTGCAATCTGTATGGAAAAGGAGTCCTTTGGCAGAAGCTCTGGAGAGTTTTTTTTAATCTTGTGCCACTAAATTGAAAAAAAAAAATGGGGGGGGGATTTACACTGGTGCCCTAAGCGCAGCTGCATAGTAATGCTAATGTCCTGCCCTTCCTGGCACATTGGCTTGGTTTTCTCTTTGTGATTCTCTGACTTGATCCTGCACACTGGTCATGATCTTGACAGTTTCTTACAGCCTGTCCTGTGTGGACTGATCCTTAAGTTCGGCAGTTCACAGAAGGACCATGTGGCTCAGCCGTCATTTTAGTGTTAGGCTTCCAGAGACTGCCAAAATGGTGCCCCCCCCACTTTATTCTCTAAAACATTAAAGGGACAAATGTTTTCAAAGCCTTAGGCTTCCCATCCCAGTCTCTCTCTCTCTCTCTTTACATCTCATGTCAATTTCGTTCCACACTGAGGATCCCCTCCCCTTTATTTTGTTTGCATGCAGCACTGAAATCATATTTTTGTGTGTGTGTACCGGGGACGCTGCCATTTGCCTCCTCTCCAATTCCCCTTTCAGGTCAATACCAGCAGGAAACCAAACCTCGCACAGCTCCTTTTAAACTTCCCCCGTCATTTAATTTGTTTTTTATCCAGGGATCTGAGACTGGAAATTATCTCATATTATTCATGCAACTTGTCCAGGGCTGGCTCACCTGCTAGGCGAACTAGGCATTTGCCTAGAGCAGCGGGCCCTGGATGGGGCACCTAACTAGGTGGGGGAGGCACCAAAAGCCCGCGAGCCATTGCCTTGTGACTTCCCAAAATATGCCTGCTGCCGCTCTCCGCTGTCTGACTGGCCCCGCTGCTGCCTCGCTGCTCGCTTTTGACTCGCCCCGCAGCTGCCACCGGCGACAGGAGGCAAGCCAGACAGCCGGGCTTCTCCCGGAGACTGATGACGCGTGCACGGGCGCCCTCCTTGTTGGCTCTTATGGGAAGGCAGACGGGGGGCGGCTCATTGGCACAACCAGTGAGCCGCTTGGGCGGCAGCGCCGAGGCTGCGGGGAGGGCGAGCAGGAGAGGCACCGAGGCAGCTGAAGTCGTGTCCAGGATGAGACCCTCCCCGCTGCCCACCTGGGTGCTGCTGGGCCTGGCTCTCAGTCTCCTCCTGCCGCCACGTAGGGCCACCCAGGGGGGTCGTCGTCGTCTCTCTCTCCCACCCGGGGCCAGCCAAAGGGATCCCTGTCCCAAGGCAGATCAGGCGCGGCAGCCCTCGTTCCGATGGCAGCAGGGGACGTCATGGGAGCAGAGTGCCCCCGAGCCTGTGCAGAGAAGCAACGAAGGTGTGGCATGCGCTCCTTCTCTCCAGGCCCCGCCTGGAGGTTGACAAACCCATAATTGATGGGCGCAAACAGGGGGGGCGCCAGAAGGGTAGCCCCACCTAGGGCACAAAAAAACCTCGAGCCGCCCCTGCACTTAAAAAAAAAAATTACAAGAAGAAGAAAAGGAGGAGGAGGAGGAGGAGATTGGATTTATATCCCACCCTTCACTCGGAGTCTCAGAGAGGCTTACAAACTCCTTTCCCTTCCCCTCCCCACAACAGACACCCTGTGAGGTGGGTGGGGCTGAGAGAGCTCTGACAGAAACTGCTCTTTTTTCAAGGACAGCTCTTATCAGAACTACGGCTTGCCCAAGGTCATCCAGCCAGGCACAAGTGGAGGAGTGGGGAATCAAACCCGGTTCTCCCAGATTAGAATCCGCGCACTTAACCACTGCACCAAACTGGCTCTCAACACCAAACAATTTTAAAACGAGGGGGAAATGGAGCATGTACACCAATGAAGGGAGGAGGAGGGTGGAAGGTGCAGAGTGGGCAGAATGACCTCGATGTGGGCGGGGCAGTTGCCTTCGAGGGGCAGCAAAAGGGCAGGGGGGAAATCGAAGGGAATCTGTATGCTTTTGAATTAACTTTGGCTTGGAAGTGAAACAAGGGGAATATTGGCACAAAAGCACTCTCAGGAAACCCGGGGAAACAGTGACCAGAAAGTGAACTGAGCGCAGAATGACAAAGAAAACCTGACAGACGTGTATGGTCAAAGCAAGGGAAAACACTCATGCCCAATAGGCCACTGTGTGAGGAGGAGGTTAAATCCACCACAGGAGCCCTGTATCTGCCACCATATCTGCTTCATTCTCTGGCACTCTTCCCTCATTTCCTCATTTCCTGTTTTGCATGAAATCTCATCAGTAAAGAGATACAGACTTTTATTTATTGTTTACCTATTTCATATATAGTCCGTCTTTCTTATGGAGATTCAAAGCATTACCATTTTTTAAAATGCAGTGATACAGCACGGTATACCTAAATTAATGCAGAAGGACTGTCTAAAATTTCCATGGATATTAAAAACTGAAACACTATTCCTTTGGTAAAAATGTACAAATCGGTCTACTGAAGCCTTGGGGTCGCCAAACTCCAGGTGGTGGCTGTCAGTCTCCTGGGATTTCAGCAGACCTCCAGGTGACAGAGATCAGTTCACCTGGAGCAAATGGCTGCTTTGGAGGGTGGACTCTATGGCACTGTACCCTGATGAGGTCCCTCCCCTTCCACAACCGTGCCCTCCCTAGGTTCCGCCCCTCAGATCTCTAGGTATTTCCCCACCCTGTGCTGACAACCCTACTTACTATCCTTCGTCACTGACTCTAGCCCACAATTCTTCCTTCATTAAAAAACCCTTTCCCCCCTAAAGGGGTGAATTTTCACTGATTGTTCTCCTCTGCCACTCTGTGACAGCGAGACCCCGCTAGCTCTAATGACAGTAGAAGAAGAAGAAGAGGAGGAGGAGATTGGATTTATACCCGCCCTTCACTACCCAGAGGAGTCTCAGAGCGGCTTACAAACTCCTTTCCCTTCTCCTCCCCACAACAGGCATCCTGTGAGCAATGCTCCTTCTAAGCTGTGGAGTCTTGCAAGCAAACATTCTACTTTGTGAGTCTACTGGCGTTTAAGTTGTGAGCGAGCGATTTGGCTACTGCATAAATTAGTTTGCTCTGGAGCCCTCCCTCCTGAGCTAAGACAAAAATGTGTGAGCTGGAGACTAAAAAACTGTGAGCTAGCTCACACTAACTCAGCTTAGAGGGAGCACTGCCTGTGAGGTAGGCGGGGCTGAGAGAGCTCTTGACAGAAACGGCTCTTTTTCAAGGACAGCTCTCATCAGAGCTACAGCTTGCCCAAGGTTATCCAGCCAGGTGCAAGTGGAGGAGTGGGGGAATCAAACCCGGTTCTCCCAGATTAGAGTCCACACACTTAACCACGACACCAAACTGGCTTGGTCGTGCTGCTGCAGGAGCCCTAATCCTGGGCTCCCACATTCCCTCCCTCACTTGTTCTTCAACTCTAGGCAGAAAAACCAAGCCCTGGTAGCTTCGCATAGTTTCTTGGGAGATGAGCACTCAGCAGGAGATGTCTCGGGGAACTGAATCATGCCTGGCACCGGAAGGAAGGGGAAGGATGAGCTGGTGCTGCTGTTCTGTGGAGCAAATGGATGAGCAGAGAAGTGTTTCATTTCCATGGAAGGCTCCTGGTAGCTACCTCAAAAACTCTGCCATTGGAGCTTTTTGTGGAATTTAACTTTTTTTGTTTGTTAAAAAGCAAGCCCTGGTAGCTTTGCATAGTTTCTTGGGAGATGAGCACTCAACTTGAGGTGGCTCGGGGTACTGAATCATGCCTGGCACCGGAAGGAAGAGGAAGGATGAGCTGGTGCTGCTGTTCATTTCCTGGGAAGGCTCCTGGTAGCTACCTCAAAAACTCTGCCATTGGAGCTTTTTGTGGAATTTAACTTTTTTTGTTTGTTTGGTTAAGGAGCTGCGGTGGCTCAGGTGGTTAAGACGCTGAAGTGCAGGCTGTGGAAGGTCAGTAGTTCAGCAGTTCGAGACCCGGGTGCCGCATGACGGAGTGAGCTCCCGTCTCTAGTCCCAGCTCCTGCCAACCTAGCAGTTCAAAAGCAAGAAATTGCAAGTAGATAAATAGGTACCACTTCGGTGGGAAGGTAACAGCGTTCCGTGCACCTTGGTGTTTAGTCATGCCGGCCACACGACCACGGAAACGTTTTCGGACAGCGCTGGCTCTTCGGCTTTGAATCGGAGATGAGCACCACAACCCTAGAGTCGGACTCGACTGGCTTTCGAGCAAGGGAAACCTTTACCTTTTTAAGTGCAGAAGTGGAGGGAGGAGGTTTGCCGTTGCCTGCCTCTGCGTGGCGGCCCTGGTATTCCTTGGTGGTCTCGCATCCAAATACTAACCAGGGCCAACCCTGCTTAGCTTCCAAAATCACCCCTGAATGTCTCTTGCCTTGGAAACCCCATGGGCTCATCGTAAACGGGCTCCAACTTGATGGCAAAAAAAAGTGGAGGGAGGGGGCATGTGCTTATAAAAGGCTTTGGGGTTGTAAATGCTTGCTTCTGTGTTTCAGTTCTGCCGGAACATATCAGAAAACAAATCCAGTAAGCGATACAACAACAAAAAAAGGGATTCTGTGAATTTGCTTGAAACTGATAATTGCAGGCGGCAAACATTCTGAAACTGTCCATGAGACTCTTGCAACACTGCCAGGGGCAAGAAAGGAAGGAGGGGCTGAGACTCAGTAGGAAAGCATACACTTGGCATGCAGAAGGTCCCAGGTTCAGTCCCCAGTATCTCCAATTAAAAGATCTGGCAGTAGGTGATGGGAAAGACCTCTGCCTGAAACCCTAGAACAGGGGTGTCAAACATATGGCCTGGGGGCCGGATGAGGCCCCTGGAGTTTCTCTCAGGCCCGCAGTGGAACTGGCTGTCTTCTGCTTCTTCTTCCAGTTCTGCTGCTGCTGCTACTTCATCGTAGGTTTGCAGCTTACAGATACACACCTGGACAGCATATGCAAGATTACAACAGCACTGACAAATGTGATGCAATAATTCAGAGCAAGAGGTGTCAGTTATCAGACACTGTTCAATAAGCAAAATATTGCAAGAGTGTTAATGTTTCAAGCTTGTTTTTATTTTAAGTTAAAAAACCAAAACCCTTTGTGTTTGTGTCCTTTATAAAGTTGATATCTCCGCTACCTGGCATTACACTTTATGACACACTTTATGACCCGACTCCTCTTCCCGCAGCGCAGCACCTAGGGCAGCCTGACCTCTACCCTCAGCTCCCTCCCGGGGCACCGCGCGCAGGCTTGTTGGCACAATGGAGTGCAGCCATGTGCCCCTGCCAGGGTGAAGAGGAGAAGACCGCTTGCCTCCTTGCCCAGCCTGGGCTTACCTGCTGCTGGTGGGCGGCGCAGTGAGTGTCTAGTGGAAGCCTGAGATGGAGGCTTCTCCTTGCGTCCTTCACGCTCGCTGTCTGCCAGGGCCACTCTCTAAGCCCAGCCTCCCTGCCGCCGCCACTGCTTGTGCTGCCCTCCTCCTCCCTGCTGACAGGCAATCGGGGGGAGGGGGCCCTTGGGGGGAGGAGGAACCATGGCTTGGGGAGGGGCTCATAAAACCCACTAGGGGTCAGGCCCATGGGCCCTGCGGTAGCTACGGGTCTGGCCCGCTGGACTTTCTTTTATTTTGCTAGGAGATACTTAAAACAGCTAGCTCTGGACAAGTGGCTTAACGTTTAGAAAACTGGAGCTTTCTGAATGTATATACTGTATCCTTCTCTTCTATACCAGTGTTCTGTACAAGTGAGCCAGTTTGGTGTCGTGGTAAAAGTGCGCGGACTCTAATCTGGGAGTACTGGGTTTGATTCCCCACTCCTTCACTTGCACCTGCTGGATGACTTTGGGCAAGCCGTAGTTCTGATAAGAGCTGTCCTTGAAAAGGAACAGTTTCTGTCAAGAGCTCTCTCAGCCCCGCCTACCTCACAGGGTGTCTGTTGTGGGGAGGGAAAGGGAAAGGAGTTTGTAAGCCGCTCTGAGACTCCCTTAGGTAGTGAAGGGCGGGGTATAAATCCATATCTCCTTCTTCTTCTTGCCACATGAAAAGCAACCAAAATGTTTGCAGCAGCCGTAAAACAATAGCGTTATAAAACCCTGTCTCAAAGAAGCCGCAAGGGAGCAGGCTTTAGGAAGCAGTGTGTCTATAATTTACGCCTGCCTGAACACTTTTCCCAGTTTAGCGTTGTCAGTGTGTTCCAGACAGTCACCTTCTTTCTCCTCAGTGCCATCGACGTCGCTCAGCATTTTACACTGTACCAGAGCAGAGCTGAAGACATCACTTTGCTAGAAGAAGATTATAGACAGGACATACTTTTCCACTGTGACAGTTTTGGTAAGGTGGCCGTCTTTTCCTTCATAAGTAAAATTACGAACAGTGTTTCAAACCCTAAGGATTTTATGTGGAAGGATTTGTACTATCTTTTTGAAAAGAACTGCTCTTTCAGCATGTCCATATCAGGGTGTCTGTGTCACAGGTTTGTGTTGCTACGCAACTGTCTAACGAGATCAGCACTGTCCCATGCCCTGAACCAGTGATTCTAAATAGGACTTTGTTGTAATTGTTATTAATGGTATGTCATCTCTGTGGGGGTGGGGGGGCACCAACGCTCCCTCTAAGCTGTGACGTCCTGTGAGCAAGAATTCTACTTTGTGAACGACTGGCATTAAAAGCTGTGAGCAAGCGATTTGGCTGCTGCATGAATTCGTTTGCTCTGGAGCCATCCTTCCTGAGCTAAGACAAAAATCTGTGAGCTGGAGGCTAAAAAACTGTGGGCTACCTCACACTAACTCAGCTTAGAGGGAACACTGGGGGGGCACCAGGGGTCGTTTCGTAGAAAAAGAGCTAGGGGAACTCATTAGCATAACTCATTAGCATATGCCACACCCCCTGGCATCACCGGAAGTGTGTCATAAGGCCACACACCCTGACATCACCGAAAGTGTGTCAT